ATTTTTCCTTTCAAAGAAAACAAAAAAACCGGAATTAGAAAACTTTTCTTACAATTTTGCTATTGGACAAAATTACAGAGTTTATACAAGTAACGTCAGGAGTAAGATTAAGAAAATTTTAACTTATAGATTGAAAAAACGGAAACCTTCATAAAAAATGGAAATTATTGTGAGATCGGTGTTCGAAAAATCCAAACAAATACATGAAATGAGCAAAATTCTGATTGACTGCGTGTAAAAACTCAAATTTGAAGACGAGAATTAAAAGTTGAGGCAATAACTTCATTAAGTAGTAATGCAAACTTGTATGATTCCAGGTTAGACACAAACAGCTTAGGTTGTAATTTTAAATTCAATCCGACAGATTTAAGGCTTGATTAATTTTTGACTTGTTTGCTACCACAAACTTTTTCATAATTGGAAATTGGGCTAGCTTTGTCCGAAGGACGTTGTAAAACTAAAACCGTAAAGCCCATATCTTTGCACGCTTGTTGTTTGAAAGAGAAATTGAACGGTTATAGTCTAATTGCCCAACATATCAGATTACTGTTGTATGTTTTATTACAGTGAGGTGTGTTTCAACTGCCAAAAGTAGTCCTAGTATTTCTAATGCATCCTTTTGATTTATGGAGCTTTAGAAATGTTTCTCAAGGAGTTGTTTTTACTCAGACTCAATGTACAGTATGTGAGGCGTCTGATTTTACTCTTCATTGAATTTTACGTCGAAGAGCGTAACTTCAGTTAAACTTACGATCTCTTCTTTGATCTGTTTGAAGGCAATTGTTTGATTTTTGTTCCGTTGGAATTTTGACTTTTCGTACAATAATGGTCTCAATGGGCTACTTAGTGTTACGAGATTGAGTACAAAGTTCATGTTTCGAATAATGGAGCCAAAAAATGAACGTAAGTCTTTCATTTGTTTTTGGAATGGGAAAATTTTTGATTGCCAAAAATTTGTCAATTAGCTGAGTGACTCCATTGTCGATAAATTCAAAACATAGCCTTTCTGTTTCGTTTTGAAAAACTTTATAATTTAGTTTTTTGATTGCGAAATTATAACTATCTAAGGTCGCTAAAAATTTACTAACAATGTTTTTTTTTGTGCAGAAAATTCTCCTTTGGATGCACTTCAAATATCGTTTAAGTAACAATTTCTGAAAGGAACATTTCCTATGGTTGATTCCATGACTCTTTTAAAACCATTGGGCATATCTCCCAGTCCGTAAAAAATGTGAAATTGATAGCTGCCTGTCATATTGCCATCGACAAAACTAAAATTGCATTGTACGCTTGTAAAATTGTCGGAAGCTAATTGGTTATAAGCCTTCTCTAAATTGAGTTTTGTAAACCAAACATCTCCGGTGGGGTGGACTTTTCACAAAGTGTTGCTGCGATGTTTTCTACAAACTCGTAAATATTGGGCATTTGGTCTTTGCTCTCGAAAGTTTGTTTGTTTAAAAATTTCGAATCTAGTTTAATTGATTTCTCTTTCTCGCAATATATGAAAATATGGCTTATGAGTCGATCTTTATAGCAAGTATCAAAATTATCAAATTTTGTGATGTTTACATCGGAGTTTAATCTAAGATGTTTGTCTTCGACTGAGCCTTATACGGACGCTAGCGCTAGAAGTTCCGAAAGTTTTGTAAACGAAATGTGTAAAAGCTCGACTGTGGTGAGTTTTTCACTGATTTTTTCCCTTTTGTTCCGAGTGTCAAATGTAACAAAGATTTTAGTTTTTGTCGGCCTCCTTTAGTCGCATTCCATTAATTTTCCTGAGTTCTCCTTTTTGAGAGGCTGTATTTTTGTCATTGTAAGTCTTTGTTCCGCCAAATTTTTTTTTTCAAATCTGGCGTTTTTTTGTCCTTCGGTTTTGTTGCCGTCTGGGGATTTTTCTACGATAAACGGAGCAAAAGGATTTATTTCGGATTTAGTAATTGTTTAATATTGATATTTTCTATACTCTGGAATTAGATCTCGTCTTTTTTCTTACGGAATTTGGTGCTTGATTGAATGGCTTTGCCAGAATTGTAGATGCCTTCTGACGCTTGCTTCGTTCATGCTTGACACCACAAAAAAAGATCTAATGCTAATTCTAAATCTATTTAAAGAATAAAAAGTTTTGCTTAAGTATGTGATTTACCTCATCGTTGAAACAATAGATAAAACGGAAATAAGATCACTCCGACGGAGAGGACAAAAATTGAAAGTGAAACAAAGACCTGTCATTGAATTAATTAAATGTTATTACAACAAAATTACATCACACCAGCCAATGCATCAAAGCGGAACAAATTTAGTTTAACAAAAATATTAATTATTAATTCCACACATTATTGAAATATATAATTTAGTGCAAACCAACATTAAATTTCTCAATGTTCGGTGTTCAAGGTTTAAAAAGAATTGAATCGTATTATGCACATAGTAAAATCTCTTATAGATTTTTGCTACTCCTGTCAAGGAAAAATTCATGATAGCATGAATCCAAGATACTCCAAGAATCTCTAATTAATTGGAAATGAAAACTATAAAACTCTGCAGCAAATAGAACTGTAATCAAGATAAAGAAATAGAAAATTTTCGATAAAAACAGAAAATCAATGGCTAAAGGAACCCATGCCGTTAAATGGTGGATACTCAATCAAATGCCATATCTACAAACCGCAACATCTTGAATCCAAAATTACATCATAAATACGTAAGCTACATCAAAGTTAGGTAGAAATTGCATAACGACGGTGATAAATAGTTGATATATTGCATGCATGGAATGATAATAGTTTTGCTCGACAAAAGAGACGGGATTTTTGTGCGTGGGCTGGTATTTCTTCCAATTAAATTTCAAATTTTGAGCCAATAGTTTTTGAAACATTTTAAAAACGTCATCCGAATTGTGTTTTTGTTCCTAGCTCAAATAACAATTTTCATTTTAACTCTGAGCCTTTTTTTATAAAGTTTTGGGGGTTTGCGACGATTAGGGCGTGATACTTTGCGTGCTACTAACACGTATACGGAGATTTTATCTGTCTGAAAAACTGTTCGAAATTGAATGTTTGTTTATTTGTTCTATTCGGTAGTTTGATATATGCAAAATAAATCAATTTGCATTTTACACAGCATAGGGTAAATGGTTTTTAAAAAAAGCGTTGAAAAATAATAAAACAAAAATGAAAAATAAGGGAAATAGGAACTTCTTAACAATCTCACTTATTGAAAAAACGGAGGGAGTTTGTTAAGTAGATCCAGTTAGTCATTATTCGATCTTTCAGAGTGCAACAAAGTAAGAATTCTCATTAAGAAGCTCCTAATTTTGTTTATTGATAGAGAATGAAGTTTTTATAGAAACCACTGGTTGGAGATATTTTATAGTAGAACCAGAAAGCTTTGCAAAAACAAAAACACCAAAACAAGCAGCGCATACAACCGAACATGTACAACCGAATATCATTGGATAGACAATCAAGACAAACAACGGAACTTGGTTTAGGAAACAATCTGTGTAAAAAACCTCAATTGATTTTCAAAGAATTAGACTGCCTGTTGTTTTGTGAAAATTTAAATTGGCTAAAGCCAACAAACCTGCTTGATGTCGCTAAAATTTTTGCAAGGTATAATCAACAAAAAGCTAGAGAAAAAATCAGGATTATTTATGTACAAAGACAGAAATTCATGACTCGCAGGCTAACTACCAAAGAACTAGCGAGAGAAAAACTGAATACACAACAAAAAATCATAATAACCTGAAAAGAAAACAAAAGATAAGAAAATATTTTTAAAGAAAACAAATCATAAGAGCATGCAAAATTGCCACCTAATTATCTAGACATTTGAAAAATAAAAAGCGTAGTCCCGGATACACAAAAACTGTGGTGACTCTACTTTTGAGTAACCAAAGTATTTGCCACTTGTGTTCCACAGAAACACAGCCATAAATTTTGAGAAATCAAAATTAAAAAAAAATGCTAGTCATACAGTTGCCATATAATAAAAATCGCTAATCATAAACTTTTCGTGCAATTTTTCATTATAATAGAATGGCATGAAAATGTTATGCCTAGCGTTTTTCCAAATATGAAAATTGTATGACTAGCATTTTCGTCAGCCCGGGATTGTGGCTGAAAGCGTGAAAATACGATGCAAGGTATGAATACCAAATGTGGTCACTAGTTTGTTGATCATGAAAAAGTTCATTCCACTATAACAGCGTAAAATTAGTTTCCAAAACTGGAGTTCATATGTGGAGGGGAAGCAGATAAGAGCTGAATTTTGTTAAAAAAAACGGGTTTTTAGTTTTTGAGGTGGGGATTCGGGCTCTTTTTCCTTTCCCCCACCTGCAAGTTCTTTTATTTAAAATTACTGGTCACATTATCCGATTGTCGTGAACTATGCTATGCAGACCGATTAGGCCATGTCAAACATGCTTAGTCTTTTTAATCAATCTTGTAAGAACACTCGTAAACCATAAAAATGATGCTCGTGTGAAGTTTTTTTTTGGGGGTAGGGGGGGGGGGGGGGTGGGGGTGGAGGAAAAAGAGCCGAGATTCACTCCAAAAGTTATAATGCCTATGGAAACTGATTTGATTTTTTTTAACTTGACGGTCTTCAATTTGGGACTGCAAATTGCAAGACTATAAAGCTTTTTGAGTTTTACAAAAATAAATTTTGCAAAAATAAAATCAATCAAATGTTTGTCTACGACATATAACAAGTCATGATACCTCTATGTATTAGTCACAACTATTGGGGGGAGTGCAAAAGACGACAGAAATTAATTTATTTATAGACCAGAGTTACCAAAAAAATCTCAGTAGTTATATGTTTTTTTTATATACAAATATAACTCGAGCCATAATAAATTAATTTTTACAGTTTTAATATCTCTTCGTATTAACATGAATGGTAAACTAACACGTGCCATAACACTTCGTTCAAAAAGTAATGTGAGAGTTTCTTCATTGATTTGAGAAAAAACTTCGCGTTTCAGTTTACATTTTTCATCGATAAATTTTGGTTGATTGTTAAGTCTGAATTTGTACAGCTATTGATTCTCTCGATCATTTTTTTGAAATCGTTCACAATATTCATCCCCACTTTATTACAGTTTCACATTTTTTCATTTTAGTTTGAATCGGAAAATCGTTCACTAGTGAATTAATTTCGAAATCTCATATTAATTTTTGGATTAGTTTTCTATTCAATTTCTAATGAAAATTTATTTTTCTACATCATAAGTCCAAGTCTTGCAATCAAATTAGCAACGGTGAGTTTATGATTGATTGAGGGTTGTGTTAAAATCGAAGTATTTTTTGGAATAATGACGTCAATTTTTTCGTCAAAAACCAAAACACCCGCTTTCCGAAAAACGTCAAATGTACAAAAAAAGTTGGGTTATTGTCATCGAATGCTTCTAGCATAAATAGGTTTCCAAGTTCTGTAAACTGAAAAGATATGAGAATTACAAAATTACACGAATTGGTTAAATGTGGATTTAGGCAGTCGTTTTTTTTGCCAAATCAGTTTATTATTTAGTGCCAATTTGTCATACATGTCACTATTTTAGGGCATCATTTTTCTTAACGTGTACTTCAAATATACTTGTTTAGACGGCCTGTCTAATTCGCTTGTCTCTGATCTCCAATTGAACGCCATTTGAAACGAATCAAAATGGCATCTGCGTCGGGAAATCGAAACAACATTCCAGGTAAACTGAAATATGAACTTGGGGGCTATTATAAAAAAAACTAATACAAAAAACAAACTCGCGCTTTTTATTTGAAGCTTCTTTGATTGGTTGTAGCACAATTGCCAAAAATTTTGACGAATTTTGAAGAAACGCGGAATTTTTATGCGTGGGTGTTTTATTCATTCAGTCAACCTTCGACTTTTTTTAATTGCACAATCTTATCAAATTTTTTCAGACTAATTGAAAAATAATGTTGCCATGAGCTGAAATACAAAAAGAATAACTTATTTGTGATCATTTCCAACCAAGTCACAATAATTTGAATTTTGGGATAATTTGATGACTATAATTCAAAATGTGATAGTTAACGGGCAATAAATTTCGTGCTATTAAAAGTAAGCGGCAGTTTCAATCCTTCCACATTGATCTTGCGCTTATTATTTCGTTATACGCGCAAAACAGCACAAGCAAAAAACGTTACATTGCTTCTGAGGGTTTTAAAATAGGAAATTGTTTTTTTTTTACTATTCAAAACTTTCTTTTTTTGCCAGGTTTTAAAAGATTTCTTTTGAAACCAAAAAAGTGATCGGCAAAACAGATAACTATGAATCATTGGGGATATAAGAGCAGTCTTGCTTATTTTACCGTTAACTATCGCGACTAAATTGTTGACCAAAATAATTTTCATTGAAAAATAATTGTCAAGAGAGAAAACCCTTAATTCCTTAATATTCGGTTTTTTCAACCTATAACCAGTGTTTGTTCAAAAAATTGATAAAGAATAATCACCCACACGCTATGTAAAGTACAAGGTGACAGTTTATGCATGTATGAATAAGTGAAGTAATCCAAAGTCCAAAGAGCAAGATTCAACTCAATATGGAACGATTTCTAGTACGGATAAAAACTTCTTTTATTCTTTACTCACTATATCGCACGTTAAATGTCCCCATAATAAAACTCTTGAAACTTTTAACATCTTGGACAAAATAATCATAGTTCATTTTTTTTTTCAATTTTGAGCTCAAAAGAAAACTTTCTTCTGGTTTCCTAGCTTTCTCGAAAAATCACAGCAAAGTTCTATAAAAGTTGTTTTCACAGCAATTGGCTTGAAAGAACTCTTGTATGAATTTGTTCACTTGTTCACGCTCACATGTTTATTTTGCAGTTTACTACCACAAAATTCATTTTTAAATATGATTGTCTTAGTATAACTGAAAAAGCCCAAAACAAAAACAATTTCGAATAGTGAAAAAAATTTTTGCCAAAAAAACTAGGTAACAAGAAGTCTAAAATGTTTGTAGAAAAAACTACCCCCATCACGCATGTTCCGTCTTTCTTTCCGAAAGTCGGAATTTTAAATCATAACAATTGTATATTTGTCAGGTTTCTGTTGAATTATTTTTTCCGCTTAAGCTCGTTTCATTTCATATTGTTTAAACTTTTAAAATACTTTTCAATTTTTTAAAATATTCATCTTTAGCATTAAGTTTTCGCAACGTCTTTGTTGTCCATTTTAGAGACATTCTTTCTTGCATAATATTTTTAACCTTTTTTCCAATAAAGTTTTTGAAATTTTCTTAGATATTTTAAAACCTGTAAGGTAATGTAGTTTCAAAAACTGTAATATCTATGTAAATTGTTCGATAGACAAATTACATAGATATAAATTCAAAAGTTATTTGAAACTGTATTTACTGTTTTTTTTTGGTACTGAAAAAAAACAACCAGACGAAATCGAGTAACTAAAAAACAACGATCGAATATATATGGAAAATCCAATGGTGCTTACATTAAGTTCGGGAAACCACCAATTGTCGCAAGCAATATGTGTTCTTATTTCAAAAACTTCAACTCGCTGCAATTTGCTAATTGTTTTTTCTACCTTTTCAAAATGAATTTTTCAAAAATTTTGAATAAATCAGTAGATAATGATTACAATTTTTGTCAGCTTATCTATTTTTGTCAGTTTATTCATTTGAGTGACCACATCATCCTTATTCCATCAATGCAATCATTGTGTTCCAATTTACAAACTAAAAAGGGTTACTACAAAACTTACAACCAATTACAAGTAACATACTGCATTCATACACATGAATACTTATGAAAATCAAACAAGGAACACGGTAAAAAAAATCCAACTTGTAGAATTTATAAAAACAAACAATGAATAATTTGCTTGAAATCCAATCGAAACATCAGTAATTCGCTGAACCAATTGTCGATTTTTTTGTAAGAAAGGAATCGTCCAACTTTTTTTGATTGAATAGGCGGAATTTAAATAATTGTCTAGTCATGTAGTCATCGCCCAGTGCTCTCCACTATCATTTATTGGAGCTAGATTAGCCATTGCTAAAATGATATTGTAGACGAGCGACTATATCAGCTAAATGTGTTCGAGTATTTTTGCATCTTTCAAAAACCTGTACAAAAAAGATTTTATCCATTTTCGCAATTAGTTTTGAATTATTTACATCTGAAACATAAAGAAAAAATTCAAATTTTTTCTTAGTTTTCTTTGTACCAAAACATTGATAATAGTATTAATTTCTGCCTTTGGTGCATCGAGCTATCAGACGAAAAGTCGAAACTGCATATAGTCTGAAAGAGGTTAAATTAAACTATGATTTTTAGTAGCATACTTGAATTTTTGACAAATAAATGAGCCAAGTACAAAATGAGCCAAGCGAATATCCACTGGCGTTATAACTCATTGTGTTGTTAAATTAACTTTCCTACAATCGAGAATAGAAAAAATTGTAAATTGCCCACATAAGTCAATATTGTATCAAATTATTCATCTAAGCCACCCCTTATTTTGCTGTACGAAGTTCTGTTTGGTGAAAATTTGAACTAACTTTCCCTTCATTGACTAAAGCTTTAAGCTAAGGTGGTTATCACGCATATCCAAATAGAGACTACAATCTGTCTTCAGTTTCCAACACATTACTGCTATTATCTAGAGAAGTACTGCAAATTAATTCTTGATTTTAAGATAAAATAAGTGTTTGTAAAACTGCGAGTTTAGCAAAAACCTCCAAATTTTTTTAAAAAAAAATCCGTACCAAAAATGAATATTTTAAAAATTAATTCATTTTCTGTTCTCGAAAATTTCTCAAAAAGAGAGAGACTCTTTTTTGACTTTCTTGAAAAACGAACGTAGTTAAACTACTTCTACGCTCGGATTTTTTTTGCGTCTTCCAAATGTTTTGGTGTCAAAAACTTTTGCAAATGTTTTGAGGTTTTTGCGTTTAATAACAACTTCTCAATCTCTCGAGCGTTAAATTGACACAAATACACCGCATTTTGTTGCAGCTGTGATCTGAAAATTTTTATTGAAACGAACTTCAATTTTTATAAGAGATTGTGCAAAAGCACCAAACGCTTTTTCACGCTATTTTGCTTGTTCACATAAAATTAAAAATTTATTTGAAAATAGAGCAACTTTCAGCTCGTGTAAGTCTTACTGAGACAAAATATTTTTTCTCTATCTGTAGTATCTTCCACTTTTATATTGATATTATTGGAATAGATCCTCAAAATTTTTTCAGTCCTAGATCCGTTAGGACTTATAACTTTGATACTGCCCCGTAGATATAATCTCTCCTTTTTTCTACTTTGCAAACGAAAAAAAAACAAGGAAGGAGTTACTGGATCACCGACTACCTTATATTCTATAAAATCACCATACATCATCAAGGGTTGCATTCAGGCAACCAATTTCAACTATTATTTGCTGTTAATAACAACCAAGTTATTACTCTAGATAATGAACACTAATTGATTCTCAGCCGAAATAACAGCTATTTTTGTACAGTTTTTTTCTTTTGATACAGTTTTCTCTTCCATTTATGTATGCATTTTTTCCAGCAATAACAATTTGATAAAACAAAAGATACAATATTTCTCAAGTTTGATCTCCCCATTCTCCTTTCGAACATAACTTTTCCGATAGTAAAGTGTAAAAGAACTGGCTCTTTAATGAAAGATTCCTACAAGTAAAAAATTCAGGTAAAAATTTTTTTAAAAAAATGATTTACTCTCAGCACATTTATTTATATTCTTTTAAAAAATTCTACTTTTTAAAGATCGTTGATAATGAATTTAGGAGGATTTTGTAGAGTTTTTCAAAAATTTCAAAAACTTCAACTGTTATTTGTAATTTTAAGTCTTCTTGGAAAGAAAAATCATCATTTCAGTTCTCGATTCTAGAGTTTTCTAAACGCGTTGTCAGAGATGGTTTGTACAGAATTGAGAGAAATTTGATTTTTGTGACATTTGGGATATAGCTCTCTCAGCAAAAGCTGTTTTGGTTTCACTGATTTTGAGTAAATTTCATTGTGCTGCAAGTATCTTACAGGTTCTGTTTCTTTGTCAACCAGAGTTTTTTGACGGAAAAACATTTTTTGAAAACTAAATTGTTTTCGGCATAATTTCATTTAAAGAAAATAGGAAAAAATATCAACATCAACCAATAAAGGTAAGACTCCCTTGTGTTGACTCGCAAACTTATCTACAAAGGACAGTACCATACTTCGAAATTATTTTATGTAATGTGAGATAACTTGAGGTCTTCTGAAGCGGCTGATTGATGGCTAAATTTTGTAGAAGATAATATGGTTTGTAAGCAGTGCTCCACTTTTTCTTTCAGATAAACAGCTTGATATTGAAAGAAAAAGGAAGATAACAAGGATAAATAATTAAAGAGTGGGAAAGATAAGGTAAGATTTTCATAAACTACAATTGGAAAGAAAACAGAGTGCATGTTCCATAGGCAAAGGTTTTGATTTTTTTGTAGCAAGAAGTTTTTGCATGAAAAAATAGGTATTTGCTACATCTGCAACCATACTCACCTTACTTAAAATTACACTCTAATGTTTTGGGCAACCGTATTCATCCAAGATTAATGGCTTTGTGTTGATTATTTTTATTGTTTTTTTTTTCGCTCAATATATTTTTTTCTCAATCTCTGTTTCAATTAATTTCCAAAAGATGCTCCGTCTATCAAGCAGATT